ACTGGCTGATATTTCCAGAGTTACTTATTTCAGAGTTTCAGTTTTATCACATCTCTTGCCTCCAATTTTGCTTTTATCCTGGGAAGGTCAGATCCTGCTCATCTCCATTATTATCACCATTCAGCAGCCATGGCAAAAACAGCCAGAATAGTTGACAATTGCCTTAAAATATCATGACTTTGCACATTAACTTACCTTGTTTGCGAAGTTCCTTCTGGAATACATGAATAATAAAGCAAATCACTACCCATATGAGACTATTAGAAAGTGCTTTGATGGTGTCTACGTTGTTTACTTCATGGTTAGATTCTGAAAAAGGAACACCAGGGAATTTACTTATTAACATCTAGACCAACCTTATTACTGTTTCTACAACAGAGTTTTTATTCTATAGTTTATGTAACTTGTGGCTCTATGGTGACATTTCACTCTTCATAGATAAAGCTGAGGTATCCCATTAGTCCATTAGTCCATTAATCCTAAGTACCACAGGGATAGGTGCATTACAGCACCCACTCAGAAGATGGTCTAGGATAAAATGTTTCAGGTTAGACCAAGCATCAGGGAGATACTTTCCCCATAGATTATGAAGAGTGCCAGAATGCAGACACCTCACAGTATATGAGGGAATGTCTGCCAAAATTCAGGTCTGCCATCAATACTTTATTATTCCCTTTAAAACCAAATATGATACAGAGCAGAGATTGGCAGACTATGGCCCACAAACCAAATCAACTCTCTCTCTATATAAATATATAATTATAAATATTTACTAATATTTACTAAAATATAAACTGTACTAATTTAATATAATTTTATATATTTATACTTATATATTATATTATTAATTATATAATATATTACAGATTTATATTTATATTATTTATAAATAAATAAATTAAAAGCCCTTATATATATCTATTAAAGGCCATGACTTCAAAATGGATTTTACTTTTTTAATAACTGAAAAAATATTACTTGTAACACAAAAATAAATTGAAATCCAAATTTTAGTGTGAGAAACCATTAGTTTTGCTAATTCACATACATATGTTCTATAGCTGATCTTTCACTACAATAACAGAGGTCAATGGTTGCAATGAAGACTGTTTATAGTGCAATGGTGCAGTGATAACTCAACACCATCTTGAGTGTCTCTACTCCCACAGCACTGCAACACTTCCTAACTTTGTTATCAAGGAACAACAATTACATCGAAGAGAAAAAGAAGAAAAGAGTACACTTTGGATAAAACACTTTACAGTAAAGTGGAGTGTGGACTATTTTATTACTGAATGACATATATATATATATATATATAAATATATATATATAAATATATATATATATTTACAATGACACTCTAGCCATGCTAAAAGATAACAATGTACACTGGCCTTACCAGACTAAAACTCATTACAGCATTATCAAAGTTTGATAAAGTGACTGTAAGGAAAAAATTTAAAGTTTAAAATTAAATTAGTCTTCACAAAAGAATTTCTTCATGAAAATTAAAAATAAAAATGAGACTACAACCTAAATAATTTTTCATGGGTTCATTGATGAATGATGAGACAGTATCTAGTTCTGGGACAAGCTTGAATAACAACATTTTCCCCCATTCCTCATTAAAAATTGAAGCCTAATAACTGTATTGTATAAACTGTATGTATTAGAAGACTGAAGATGGTGGCTGAGTAGGTGGGTGCCAAGTTCACTTGCTCCTGCCCCCAACCTGGATTTTCAGCTGAGTTTTTGACAATCAACCTAAACAATTAACAGAATTTTAGTTGATATGAAGTTCTGAAGCCAAGGAGTGCAGAGGATGCTTCATACCGTCCAGTAAGTGAATCTTATAAGTCAAAGGGGAAACAGCCTGTGCATGGTTCCAGTAGTAGCTAAGATCAGAAATCGCAGCTTTGGAGATCTTTCCCTTCTTAGAGCAGGGGACCTTAGTCTCAGGCAGGGATCCCCAACCCTAATCAGGGGGTGAATTGGAGGACTTTACTGAGTCTATGAGAACCAGGGTACACGAAGTCAGGATGGGCGGGGTAGGACAATTGGGAACCTAATTATAATTATAGCATTTTGGACTACAAATATGGCCGACAAGGAATATGGCCACCGTTTGGACTACAAGTAATGGTGACTGAACTCTGACCTGGAAGAGGTGGTGACATCAGACCAGGAACCACCAATGATATGTTGCTTCTTTGTTCACCAAGAACAAATCCTTGGCTCCCATGGGAAGTCAAGCCATATAACCACGCTCCCCCCCCCCCCTTTCCCTTCTCCTGTGAGGACTTTTCTCAGCCCTTTCTCTGTGTGGGTAGAGAAACGTGGCCTGGGAGCACAAACCTCCAAAATAAAGCTCATCTGCCTGTTTTCATGGCTAATTGGCTGCTTATTTCCTTGGTGGGGTCTAAGAAAACCTTACACACATGCATACACATACAGCATGTAGTGCTTCCATAGCTGAAGCACCAACTTGGAGAGCACCAGATAGGGACTCCCTCAAACTGTTAAAGTGATCAGGTGCCACACCTTGTTGGGTCAGAAGCACCTGCTTTCTCTTTTGGGAAGGTTGCACAGGCAGAGATCCAAACAGTGACTCAGTACTGCTGTGTGGATACTGCATACAGACTTTTTAAAAGGAACTGAAATGTGGCTGAACAAGGACCCTCAGTTTAGCAGCTCTGCCAGCAAAGAAACCAGATTGAAATTGCAGCTATAGAGCACCCTACCTTTAAACTGTGGGACTGTAAAAATCCAACAATAGAGGGGGAAGGGGACACTATTGGGTCTTTGGTAGTGGGATGAAGTGAGATTCCTCCACATCTGTAAAAGTTGGAGATCTTAATTCAATATGAAGCTTTTCTGTGGTTTGGGTGTCAGGCTGAAAAGTTCATTGTTAGAACTTCCTGGGACATGGACCTAACCCACCACCTATGCTGGAACAAAGAAGATATACATCCCCTAAAATACCTCACCAGGAAATTCCCCATATCTGAAGCAACTGAAGCACAGCCACTGGCATCCTGCTAGAAACCGGTTGAATCCTCACTGCCCCCTCCTCTCTCCCTCAAGCAGAAAATAGAATCAGCCCTCCCTGGAGCAGATCAGCAGGGTGACTCATCCTCCCCTGGGGGTCTGCTACACACCTTAAAAGTCCTTCTACCCTTTCTCTAGGGGCTGCCTTCCTTTGAGATTCAGCCTGCCTGGTTGCAGTGTCCCACGTTGAATAAAAGCCCTTAGTTGGACTTTTCTGACTTCAGGTCCTGTCTTAGCCTCCTCTGCTACCTAACATTCACTATATAAGTTCAGACTGAGAGAAACCTTGCTGATCCAACATGGCTTGAAGAGGGACAGAGAGCAGCTGCATAAAGAGAATTGATGACTGTGAGGGAGGTGCAAAGGCAAGAGATAAAACAGAGAACTTGCTGAGTAAATTGGGGGGAAAACGGTTTTTCCACTCACATGCCTGCAGACAGTACCCCTCCCCTCAGCTCAAGGTATGCCTGCTGCTACTGTGACTACAGGAAAGTAACCTAGCAGAATAGAACTGTTTTTTGACCCATTCTGAATTTCTCTCACCTGTGCCAGGCATGCTGAACCTAAGAGACCAGTGGGGTAGAGAGTTACTAAATCTGCACAATGCAGGGGCAAGACCAAAACAGAAAACTTGCTGAGTGGGCTGGGAAGGTAAAACCAGCTTTTCCACTCTCCATACTGGGAACAGCATCCCACCCCCAGCTTCTCTGGCTGCTGGTGCTGTGGCTGCAGAGAGGAACCTATCAGAAAAATTGCGTTCTGACCTGTTCTGAACTTTTCCCAGCTGTGCCAAGCCAGGCTTGATCTTTGGGTCCTCTCCTACTGAGAACAGCGGCACAAAGAGATCTGAAATTGGCATAATGAGGGGTTTTCTGGGCCCAGCCCAGCTCAGCTTGCAAGCAACCCAGGGGCTGTGCAGAACAGAGATTTCTGGTCTGTACTCTGAGAGCTAAATGGATGAGAGTTGAGCAGCTAGGAAACTTTACAGGGAGGCAAATCCCCTCACAGTAAACAAACCACCTGCAAGGAGAAGAATGGTACACCCTTCTCCTGTAGGATTACAGGTGTTGCATCCAAGAGGGAAACTCTGCAAAATAGTCCTGCAAGGTTCAAGATTCCCCCACTGGGTGCATTTATGCAGGGGAAAGAAAGGGTGAAAATTTTGGAGGCTAGCATTTGGGAACAGGACAGAGAGTTTGGCTTCCTACTGAGGTTTGGGAAAGATGAAAAGAGTTGAGCACTTACCTGTGGCCTGGTCCTGCCCCCAAATCAATGGGAGGCTCTCTTGATCTATTCCCTGAAGTCTAGAGCTGAGAAGCTTACTCCTGCAAAAGGGTAAGTTGAATATACCCATTCTGAACCAGCAGAGAGCCCCCCACCCTTTAGGAAGCAAGTGCCCAAATCTCTGGCTGAGATGGAATGGGTTGGCACTGAGTAGGGGCTACTCTCTTTTCACTGAGCACACTATAGACTGCAGAACAGACAAAAAAGAAGCCTGCTAGCCCAGGTTTCAACAAACCTTGTCTCATCTTTCAGACTCTCATCAAAAAGCTCTAGAGGGAAATTAGGCAACTTCAGGGAAGGACAGAGAGAATGACAAAAGGAGGCTCACCCTGGGGGGCCTTGACTCTTATACAAAGCAGCCATGTGCTCCAAGGGAAAAAGAGCTGACCCTTCAACAAAGATTGGCCCCTCACATGAAATGGACAGCTAACTCTTAAGAAACTATTTACTACTGAAAATAGTCTGGGAGAGACCAAGATGTGTGGTGCAGGGGTAGGGGAACACACCCAACATTTTCCCTGAAGTCTGAATAGTTCCTCCAAGGGGAGATCCAAGGGCTTCATCCTCCTAATTGCATAAGAAGCCCTCTCAGAAACACAGGGGTTAGTAGTGTGGACTAAGACTAACAGCAGGACCATGGATAAAGGCAGGTGGAAGTGGTACCCGTGGTGCTTTCTGACACTAGATAACCTACATTTGGACCCTAAAAACAGAGTGCTTGTACAAGGTTAGATGATGAGATATAGTGAGATTAAAGTATAGAAAGTAAGCATAGTGTGAGAGAGAATAGAGTTAACCACAACAACAATAATAATGCTCCAGATTAAAGTGAAGTGGGCTAATATCATGGAAGGTTGCTGCATAGTATGTACAATTAATGTACAATTGTATGGAACAACAATTATTTACAATAGTCCTGGAACAACAATAGTATGCCAAGTAATATATGATTTGGATAACCAGAATAGAAAGTA